CACGAGGCGCTCGCCAGTCGCCAGCGCCTGCTCCAGCTGGCCGCCCCGGGCCCGCAGCTCGGCCTCGAAGGCCGCGTGCTTGCGCTGCAGGAGAAGGACGCCGGTGAGGTCCTTGCCATAGTCCATGGAGGAGTAGATCTGCTCCTTCTCCTTGATCCAGCCCTCTGCCTCGTCCAGCTCCCAAAAGCATTTCCAGAGACACTTGGACTGCTCCAGGCGAGCCTTCCTCTGGGCCGCCAGTGCCTGCAGCTCCCGCCGGCACATCTCCAGATGGCTCACACGGTCCCGGATGACTTTGGGGTCGCAGGGCCGGTACCCTGGCAGGGCAGAGCGCGGGCACGCATTAGCATGGCGCCCCATCTCCTGCGCCGCGCAACTGCCCCACAGACAAGAGCACACCTACCCTCGGCATCAGCGAAGCGGAGGGCAGCGCTGCTCACAGCCCGAACCTTCTCTGCCTGCATGGCCATGTCGCCCTCCAGCAGCCGGTGTTTCTGCAGGAGGTCTTCTACTTCCAGCAGGTGCTTCCCAAATTCAGGTGATGCCAACTGCGCCTGCGTGAGGGCACAAGCTGTCACAGCTCTTCTAGGGCAGTGGGGACATCCCACCACCGAGCCATGGGGACCCTTTGGATGAGTGCCAGGCCACGGCCAGCATTGAGCCTGGGCATTGCTGCCAGCCATATGCCCTAGTGCCGCTTCTCTAGCTGCCTCCATGTCCCCAGACTGCAGCAACACGGCTGTTGTAGACCATGAGGCTGGTGCCCCCCTCCCCGCAGCTCACCTTGATCTCATCCATCCAGTCGATGCTGTGCAGCATCTCCTGGAAGAGGTGCTGCAGGGTGAGGTTCATCTCAAGTCGCTGGCGCCGGGCGCGCAGCAGCTCCAGGAGATATTCCCAGAGCCGCAGGATGTTGTCCTTGCGTCCATTGATGCGCTTGATGTCATGGTAGTTCTCTGCCTCTAGCTCCTTCGCCACGGCCTCGATGGCTTGCACACGCTCTTTGTAGGCAGCTGTGTCTGTCTCAATGGCCTCGTGCTTCTTCTTGGCCGCCTCCACTGCCGGCAAGTCTTGGCCAAAATTATCCTGCCCAAAGAAAAGTCTCTGGTGATCCCCGCTCCGGGTGTCCAAGCCAGGTGCGTGGCCCTGCCCGTGTCTCTCTTACCTGTGCCACCAGGCGCTGGTTCTCACTCAGCCAGGCCTCCCGCATGGCCGCCTTGCGGTCGAAGCGCCGCGCCAGCTGTTCCAGCTTCTCCTGCCGGATGAGCTCGTTGCGCAGCGCCAGCTCCCGCTCGTGCTCCGCTTTCTCCAGCTGCTCCCAGGCCTGAGCGAACAGTGTGAACTGGTGGCTGACATCCGTCCCCAAAACTACCCCACACGTCCTCCCCATAACATTTTGCTCTGCTAGCCAACCCGAAAGTGCCCAGGAGGGCTTGACAACACGGGTCACCTACCCTGTTGATGTCGGAGACCAGCCGGCCCTCATGTGGGGTGTACACACGCTGGTTGTTGGCCCGCATCCGTGACTGGATGGTGAAGAGGAGCACCTCCAAGTTGCCCTTCTCCTGAAACCTGTCCCAGAGAGAGCTCAGCCCTGGGGTGTGCAGGAGTGCCATGCCACCCAGCAAAGGGCCCAGCACCAGCCTCCTGCTGGGGCAGGAGAGGCTCAGGGCACTTACTTGGGGGGTTTCTCCACAGTGCGGTAGGTGCTGAAGGCTTGGAGCTGCTGCTGCACGCCCGCCAGCGAGTTGGCAAAGTTGCGGCTGTTGAGGGAGGCGATGGTCTGCTCGATCCAGGTGAGCAGGTCGGAGGCCAGCCCACTGTAGCCCTCGATCATCCGCTCTGTCTCCTTGGCGTGCTCGATCACCTGCAGCGGGGACCGGCACTGAGCACCCTCTCTCCGTGCCCGGGCACCGGCGCCATGCCCCAGCACATCCCCAACAGTGGCCCTGATGCCACCCCCTACCTTGCCCAGACGTCTTCCCTCCACCTCCAGCACCTTCATCTTGGAGAAGTAGTGGTAGAAGGCCACCACGTAGGTGATGATGGACTTCTCATCGGGGTTCTCGGTGAACACGTCTGCCCAGAGCAAGGGATAGGGTTCAGCCTCACGCACCCACCATGGTCCAGCCTGTGCGTTGTCCTGCGCCAGGCCCGGGCCAGCCTCGTGGCCCTACCTTCAGGGTCCAGGAGTGGAGTGATGCCCAGGTGCCTCTCCGCCACGCTGAACGCATGCTCCAGGTTGTGCCGGGCGTTGGATTTGGTCAGGTTGTGGAAGTCAACCAGCTCAGGCCTGAGGACAGAAAGTTTCAGACAGTGGTGACACATCCAACAAAGGGACTGTGACCCTGCTGGACCAGCTGTTGTAGCAGCCAGCACCTCTTGCCACCTCTTCCCCAGGCTGCCTTGGCTTCTCCTGGCAGTGGCGCCAGGAACGAGGCTGACTGCGCAGCTCCGCTTACCTGTGCCTGTGGATGAGGGCATTGAATGCCAGCCCATCCTTCCAGCTCGAGGTGAAGTTGGTGACGTTCACGTGGGGGTACCTGTGGGAGGGACACGTACCACGATGGTCATTGCCCTTCCCGGACTCTCTCCCCTGGGCACCCCCAGACTCCACCAGCCGGTCCAGACGCGCCCAGGGTCCTGCCACCTACCCCGCCGTCTTCATCTGGCACCAGAGCAGCAGCGCATCCCTGGCAGAGCGCGTCTCCCGGCCCTCCTGCGTCTGCACGATGATGTCCTGGATCTGGGGGGGCAGAAGGACATGCCTGGGGCTGGAGGAGCTCCACGGGGGACGGATCCCCTTGGGGCAGCACCGTGGGCCCCGTGCTGCCAACCTCATGGAGGGCAGGGGCACCCTGAGGGGACACAGTGCAGCCCAGCTAGGCCTGGCCCCTGGCACTGTTCCCACCTGGAAGCGCAGGATGATGGTCCAGATGAGGCCGAGGACGAGGCGGTGGTTGCCGTCCACGATGTCGTGCGAGCCGACGTTCTCCAGGTGCACGCGCTGCTCCTTGAGGAACTGCAGCGCCTTGTCCACGTTCTCCAGGCAGTGGATCCGCATGCGGCCCTTGGTGGGCTTGGGCTGGGGGGCGGCCGCACTCAGCGCCTGCCCTGGCCCAGCCCTGCAGCACCCTCCCCTCGCTAGTGAAGCGTCACCATCCCTGCCCGCTGGCTGCTGGTGACACCCTGCAGGAGCAGGGACCGCCTCTTTGGTACCAGCATGTCCCCAAACTGTCCTAACCAACCATACCCGTTTGACAGCCAGAGCAGGCCAGCCCCAGCCTCCTGGGAGGCACGGCTCTGTCCCAAGGGTCTCCAGCGAGAGGGGAATCATACCAGGAGTTCTCCTGAAAGCACCTCCAGCAGTTTAATGAGCACCCGTCCATCTCGGAGGTCCATGTAGAGATCAGAGATGCGGCACGTCACCCGGGCCAAGTGGGAGTTCACCCACTTGGTGAAAGTTTTCTTCTGCACGGCCTCCCGCTCGTCTGCAATGAGAAGAGGCAGGGTGGCACCTGGTGCTGGGGACAGACCACAGCATCATGCCAGAAGGGACCTCGGGGGACAGAAGGTACTTAGGGAGGCAGAGGGGACCCAAGAAGACAGAGGGATGAATGGAAAGGGCCAATGGAAAACCAGATGCAGGATGTGGCGGAGGGCATTGCTGAGTCCCTGCTGTTGGGCTGACCCCCAGGCATGTTTCAGGAGGGCTGGGGGGGTATGCAGAGCCCCAGACCTGCCAGCGCCTTGATGCGGGAGCGCTCGAAGAGGCGGGCCGAGCTGTTGTCGTTGTCGAGCTCATCGTCGGAGGCGTCCCAGCGCACGTTGATGCGGCTGTACTGCTGCTGGATCTCCAGGTGGTCGTAGTCATTCTCCGAGGTCATGTTCCCGGTGTCCCCCGGCCAGGTGTCCTTCAGCTAGCGGGAACAGGCCCCTGTCGGGACAGCGCGTGGGAGCTGAGTTTTCCCGGTGACAACAGCAGAGCGGATAGGGGCATCGCCGGAGCGGCGCACGCTCTCCGGCCCGCGAAGAGCTGGGCGGCAGTGCTCACCACCGCACGGGATTTGCCGCTAAGACTTGCCGGTTAATCCGCTCAGGGGGATTTAGCGGGGCAACCAGCCGCGGTGTTTGCGGGCACCTGGGCCTATGCGGAGCCTCCCACTGTGCCAGGCCCGTCTCTTGCATGCCCGAAAGCAACCGGGCAACAGCTGCCGGAGCCGCCCGCAATGGCATTTGGGATATAGATAGGACAGGCCGGGATCTAAAAATGCCGGCACGCAGCTGTCAGCATTGGGGCCCCCCAGGGAGCCACGGACCCCAGGGTGGCCGCGCTGCTCCCGCAGCCTCTGTATCCAACCCTCCATCGGATGCCACTGCATGGTGCTGGGAGAAGGAGGATTTCAGGGAAGCCGGAAGCACCCCAAAACCAGGGCGCAGTGTCATTGTGTGTCCACAGGGCAGCCCCCGAGGCCACACGGGCTTTCCAGGGTGTCCAAAGCACATGTAGGCGTGGGATGGGTTTTATCGGGGGCCAGCAGGGCTGGGCTAGGCTCCCAAGACTCCCTAATCTCTGGGGTGCAGGCAGCTCTGGGCCCCCACCTACACTACCCTCCAAGGCAGCGGCTGCAAAAAGCAATGGAGAATGAACAACTGAAAAAATAAAATAAATAAAATAAGGAAGGAAAATCCCAAATTTCCCCTTCCCAGGACGACCCCACTGCACATTTCACCTGGGAGGGGGCCTGAATTGTGCCCTGTCTCCTCATCCATATGATGTGTGTTCTTTGCTGTGAGGGTGACAGAGCCTCGGGACAGGCTGCCCAGAGAGGCTGTGGAGTCTCCTTCTCTGGAGATCTTCCAAACCTGCCTGGATGCCACCCTGTGCCCCGTGCTCTGGGTGTCCCTGCTGGAGCAGGGGGTTGGACTGGATAATCCCTAGAGGTCTCTTCCAACCTCAACTACTCTGCGATTCCGTGTGATTCTGCGATCCCTGCCACATCCCCCGTGGTGTTGCTTTTAGATACCTGGCTGTGAAGTGCAATCTGCATTGCTGAGTAAAGTGTCTTCACAGAGCTGGATACCTCAGAATAGGAGATCCATAATATGTGGCACCCTGAGTAAAGAGCTACTCTAAAGTCAAAATTAGCCAGTGCACATAAACAGAGAAGAGACTATGTCTGAAATCCCTACTCTCTTCTCCTTGAGAGAGCTGGGCAATTGCTTTTATCTCCATGTGTTCCTTCTTTTGGCAGATTCAGAATGTGTTCCGACAGGGGCTGCCCCGGCACCGCGCAGCCCTCCTAGGGTTGGGTCAGGGCTGGCGGTGCTCAAGGAGAAGGGGGACATGCGGGAAGCAGCTGGGAAAGGCCCCGCGCAGAGCACGTCGCATCCTGGCCCCGGGCAAGCGGCTCCGGAGGGGTCACAAGCGAGGGCTGGAGTCCAGGTTGTGCCGCAGCCCCCGGGGGGGATGAGCAGATGGGCCTGCTGCGCGCGGAGCCCCCCCTTCCCCCGGCAC